GAATTAAAAGGAGGACATCGAAGCGCATTTAGCTCTTTCTTCTCCACCTAAATGACCCTAGACACTAACGCTATAATTAGACTACGGCTCCATCTAAAGTGCTATTGCTCTCCGCAATATCCGCCAAAAAACACATTCTATTCAACCGGGCTCAATTCTGGAAACTGATGGCATCCCCCGATCCGCAATGAAATGGGATGGTCTGATATGTCACTGCTCCTTTTGTATTTGTTTGCCGTTTCACTGCGGTTTAATTCTTTGCACATCAAAGGAAAACTTCATTCCTCAGCCCAAGCCAAAATTGTTGCGAAAAGCAAGAGAGTGACAATAACGGGCTAAGCCAAGGCACTCGTATGACAGCCCGTTTATTTGTGAAATTGAAAAAAAATATAAAGAAGTTCATCAAATCACTTGAGTTGATAGAATTGTTTTAAAGTGGTTTCCTTGTATAACGTTCGTACACATTCTGTTAGCTACATTACCTGAACTACATACCAGATTCGATTGACTCCAGGTATGACCTATTAATTCTATGCCTACACATGCACAAAATATTCAATCGGGTGCCTCACAAACGGTAACCTACTTAGAAAGATTTCTTGGAAGCCCATAACAGATTAATGGGTTAGCTATTATCATACACAAAAGATCCTGCTAACATAGCCACCTTAGAAGTCTAGTGCTCTTTCCCGCATCCAATTACCAGCAAGGTAAAAAAGAGATGTGCGCTCGGTACTTTAATTACCCTTCATTGTGTCAATGATAGCAGTTCGGTTAGCAAACATGGCTAGTCGTATTTTTTGTTAATGATATAAGATTTGTCCACGAGTACCGAGCAGTTGAGCTTCCGGATATAATACTACTCATTAAAGAATAAATTTATTCGCTTGAGACTTAGTGCGACAGGTTTATTTGGACGTTTTAAGCACAACAGTCAAGTACCAAATGTTTCGGTCGCATGATACCTGAAGTATCCATCACACGTAACAGCGAACGCATCTGCATAAAACAGTCTACCAGTGACCTCGGAATCATATACTCTTGTACCTTCAATTTCTCTGAACAGATTGAGTACCAGATAGCACGAGCCAGACAATCCTTCGTTAACTTTTCTCAGAACATGCATAGAGCCAGAGCTACAGTTGAACTTTGTGAATTACTTTATCGTTCCATCCTGGAGTACCGCAGCATAATCTGAGTCAATATGAAGAAATCCGACAGAGCGTCGGTAGGAAGATTTCAACGGTCGTTTACTAAGCACGTATTGGGAAAGTATTATCATAAACTTTCAAGAATGATGCAAGTAAATCCACCACGAACCGCTTTGGTTGCATAGACTAAAATATAATTTAAGACTATTTCACAATCTGATTCATGGCAATACTCATTGCAATCGCTTAACCTTAACATTTCAGCACAATGACACGCGAGACCTAGGTAACAAAGAACTTACTCTGATTACACCGCGATGTAAGACAAATTTGCGGTCTAACTTTCGTCTTACTATAAATGTTTCGCTGGGGAAACGGTTGCCATTCACCATCAGGTCGTGTGAGACTGTGCATTTCTTTCGCAGTAAGTCGGGAAGTTTCCTCTACCTGGATACCATTATGTTGCTTCTTCATGGGGAAGATCATTTGAACATCCACTTATTGAAAGCCCAGATAATGTCTAATGGGTGTAATATCACCAATTCAGGCGACGCAATTAGTATTCAGTGTCTACAACATACTCAACCTGCAAACTTGCTGTTTACCATCGCATAAGGCAAACATATGGGGCAATCAGTTTGCAGGAAATGCAGACGAATATAAGCAGATAACGTGATATTGCTCTTGAAAGAGCATGATATAACCTATGCATTTATGTTCTGAGCCAAATATTGTCACAGCTTTTCATGTGAGGAGAAAAATATGCCCATTATAATTATTATTATTTTTAGTATTATTATTAGCATGCAGTATATTGTTTCGAACAGAGGCAACACTAACCTGGAGCCTAAATGTGCCACTGATACTGTGCACCATGGACCGATCACATATTGTTCGCTCGATGCGTTACGGATTGTTCGTACGAGCACTAGAAATTTTCACAGGGACACCGGCTACCGGCCGGGTCGGAATACGGACCAATTGTAACTCTTTCCGACAAGTGGTCTGTTAAATTGGTGCTGAGGGAAAGCTTTCAAACACCTCATCCTAGGTTGACCAGCTACAGTCAGGAAAATTGTTGGTGACCCCTAGCACTGACACTCTCATCTGTTTGCCTTACGTTAACATCAATGTGTCAACCTACTCGGGAGCATACCTGTCCCCCATTGATGCATGCATCTAGCCCTGTGCTTACATCCAGGGAGTCTCGTTGGGTAATGGCACATGACCAACCAGAGTGTCACCGATCGTGCGTGCATGTAAACCATCAGGGAGAGAATGAACTGATATCCACGTAAACTTGAAGCAAATGCACGTTATTTTTTCAACAAATTATCTAATTAGCACTGTGCATGAAGTTGCCAATAAAAGAGTATAGTTACTTTGCCTTGATTATAACTTTTGGATAGAATTACTTGTCCCAAAACGGATCAAAGCAAGTTACTAGTCTACAATGCCATTCGATGCATCTCAAAATGTTTATTTTGTCAGGCAGTAATTGTCCAAGTGCTCCTTTCCAAAAAGCGCGCAAAAAGATATATACATATTTTGCACACTTGACAAACATCCATTGCATGCAGTTACACGGAATGAAATCTTTGGTAAGCTAGAAACAGCAGTGACAATTTGATGATAGATGAGCAACGCGATTGCGAATCACAAAATAAATTATATTCACAAGACTGCTTGACATAAAAACACGAGTGAATGTTGTAGCGAAATTGGTTGAGATGGTCTGAATTTGGTTTGGTGCATTCCCTTGCTATTTCGGTCAATCGACGGAGAATGATCAAGGCCATTAGAACGTTTTATGGAAAGAGCTAGTATTGGTGACCTTTCGCCGACCAACTGGGATAAATTGACGTACACTCAAAAGGCGAAAAATAACATCAAACTGCACTCTTGTTCAACGACGGATTCACTAATTACTGTGCGTGGACTGTGGTGCACGTGAAGGTAGCCACAAAGCTATAGCATGGCCAATCGAGTCTAAATGACAACCTCGTTGGAGAGTACTTCTGACTTGAGTCAGTTAAGTAGTGGCGAAGTTTCAGACCATCGTCCTAGTTACTTTGTGTGAATAATGTTATGGCCGCCAGAAGTAGCAATGGTACGCTCACTTTTCAATGGCTGGTTGGAATACACAAATTGTCTTCCCATTCGCTAGGTGCTGGTGTCATCGACTGGTAAATACTGTTACGGGTCTGTCGGTTGGACTGTTCGCTGAGCTTGGCAATTTTGTTGCAAACGTTTCGTCACCAATTGAGGTGACATCAGCAGGGCGTAGTTGAATGAGGTGCAGTAGCGTAGAGTAGCGTAGAGGAGCCTCGGTGAGAGGCTCCGAGGTGACGAAACGTTTGCAACAAAATTACCAAGCTCAGCAAACAGTTCAAACGCCATCTGAACAACCAGAGCTACCAGTCTTTAATTCTATAGTCAACCGCTACAGGCAGTTATTGTTTGTTCAGCACCGATATATATCCTACGTTTAAATGTTGCTTGCTCGATACAACATTGATATTGCGGGCACAGATATTAGCATTGTTATTCAGCTCCCATCACCATTTTGGACTGAATATGGTAGCAGATCAACATCGCATGCATGGCCCCGTTGGAAATGTCCCCATACTACTTTGTTTTAATGGATGATCACTGTTCCGCTCTTAATAAGGCAGATTATATGTTCTTCGACAATCACACGAGCCTGAAAAGCAGCAACACTTTGATGCTTTTAGTTCTAAGGTTGCAAGTCTGTTAACGGTGCTTTCAGTGCTCTCGATCGTACCTTGGATTACCAAATAAATGTGTTCACTGCATGTTTGTTCCTCTCCCGAATATATCAGGGAAATATTCAACACTCGAAGGATTCCATGGATCGATTGAGTCGTGCAGGGCGTCATACGACTCTTCGTCCAATCAGCAGAGAAAGAACTGTTGTATTTTCACTGAACAATTGACCTATGGAATTATCAGTTATCGTAAACTTGAGACACTGTTGCAGGAATATGTTTGCACGTTAAACCAACATGAAGCTTGTGAGTCAGTTAGAATGAGAAAATTTCACTGCAATCTAAACAGGTCCGTTGGACCAACTCAGCTGAGTTGGCGTACTTAGAATCTTTCTTGCAACCACCAGTAGTCAAACCATCTTGTTATCTTTGGAAAATATCTTTTGCAATGCTAATTTTGCTACCTCAGATGCAACAAATATGAAAACTTAGGCACTACGTCCGGTGTTGTCCGTCGCCGGCCATCGCAATTGTCTAAAAGGAAACTAAATCCGAATGCCATGTTGTCGATCCGGCTCAAGTTAACAAGCAACTTCCTTGATGCAACAATTAGGAAGAGCGCCTTTTGACCCATATACTTTTATGGTTCGATGCCAGATGTTGCACGTCAGCTATAATTTGAGTTTAAGCAACCGTATTTGATAAGGTATTGTATCCAACCGTATGTACGATCATAATTGCACCGACCACGTCATCTACATGTTGCCATGAGTATTGTGAAGGCGAAAGATATATAGGTAAGTGAATGCTATCTTCGTACCAAATTCCAAGAATAGAATTTGCGTTAGAGGCGTTCTTTCGGAAGGTAAATCGATTCCGCAAACGCTGCTTGATGAGAGCGAGCTCGTTAAGCCCTTTCCAGTTTCCTCAACTAAGTAACGATGCAAGACAAAATGCCATGTCCCGAAGGCAGGAGAAATGACATTGGATGGTGTTCCGTGATAAGCGCAAGATTCAGGTGTAGATGCGCATATTAAGAAAACTGACAATGTTTACCGAGACACCATTATGGTTGTGCTTTTGACCGATAGTAACTTGCATACATGAAAGCAATTATCTCATGCTAACAGTCAAAATGCTGCAACGCGAACAGTTTGAGTAGGTTGATATACACATAAGAGGGAAGAAAAATGACTTTTAGGTGACTCGGGTAATTGAACTCTGTCTTGGTTTCGCTTCCTGACCGTTGATGACATCAACAGACTAATCAGCGAAAAGAATGTGGAATCGTTACTGTCAGCCGGCCCGCTCATTTTACAATTTGAAGGACCTGGATGAACAAATGTAAACGTTCACGCCTCACCTGTTTCTGTGCGTAGTGATAAAAGTTGGGGTGTTGTGTAAGTACAATATGACCATTCTATACACCAGAAACAGTGGTTTGATCGATCTTGAACTTGGGTAAAATCGTACAGAATACAAAGAATCTCCTTGTACACTCAATAGCTTAACAGATTTAATCGGGCAAGCACTTTAGTTCAATGTAATGCACACCGTTCCCGAAGACTAGTGTCCACCCCACAACTGTAATTGAACTCAAGGGTTACCTAAATTTGCTAAAAATGATAAGAGAGTAACATTTATTAACGAGAACTTGCTGTATCAACCATTTGAGTGTAAAAATCTTGTTCATTCCCATGAACGAGACATAGTTGGATCACCGGAAATCAAGTGAACACAATATAAAAGCCTGGTGGATTGCTGGTCCTGCTTGAATCGGAAAAAGAGCGGAAGGCCAGTTGGTCGAATGATTGGTGATGGTTAACTTTACTGGACAATGTATACAAAATTAAATCAGTTAAATCTGCTAAACTACTACCATCAAGCTTGTTTAGCTTATGTTACCCATTGTGTAAATGAGTAAATAGCATTCTCATTGTGGGCTATAAAATCATTTAAGCACGTTTGCAACCCAGACAGGAATAGTTATCATAATTTTAGAAATCAGCGTTCAAAGCAGAAGGTACAAATCGCTTGTAATTGTCCAAAAGCGGCTAGGAATCATCCAGATGTTGAGATGCATCGTGTGCGTTAGGTAGCAAGGTTAGGAGGTGATTGCAAAAACTGGGCTCCTTTTTATCCGTCTAGCTTCACAAATCCCTTCCGGCTCTCGGTTATATTTGCGCGAATGCTTTCTGTCCTACTATTTACCAGCAAATAAATTAAAAATCCTTTTGTGACAGACTACGTCATCAGTTGCTTGAACATCACAGTAAGGCACAACGTCCACCAGTTTGTTGCGGTCCCATGTTGATAATCTGATCGGCAAACTGACAGCATCAAAATAGATGCCTAATAGGCGCAGTGTTACACGAATTGTATGCGATCATAGGTTAGGACTGAGCTTGCGTTCCAAGAAAGCAAACGTTGAATGTTCCAAACTCTAGCACAGGCAGCATAAGTCAGCGCTTGTCTCATGTTCATCAACTTATGGGCTAGGTGCCACCAACCAAGTTGAAGCAAGACCTCATTGCTTTTGGCTACAATCTGTTAAGTACATGGCTTGTTGTGCTAGAACGGATCCTCACCTTGTAGCTCAGCGAAGGGATTGTGCGAAAGTAAGGAAAATTCAAGCGGAGCTATTGAATATGTAAGTCAATGGAAACGTTGGTGCTAACCAAATACATGCATCAAAGTCCGCTGCCAACAAGGCATGCACTCCTTCGCTGTGAAAAACTCTTTTATTTCATTGTAAGGTATACTGAAAATCGCAAATCATTCACCATAATATGACAATGCACAAGTAATGTGTACTCTGTAGATGAAGAGACCAATTTTGCAGTAATTTTTGCAGCCCAACTGCCACATGCTTTAGCATTTTCCGAAACTGTGTTGCACACTATAGATAATGTGAGTTAAATGTCGTTCTGCTCTGCTATGCACCGCTAGATGTTATGGAGAGCAGATGTAAAATCAGAAATTTTGATCATTTGCACATCCAATGGCGGTGGAGTAACTCATTGTCAAAAGATTTGTCCAAATCTGTCCATCGTTTATGAGTAGTCTGGAAGAAAATTGATTCGTTGCGGACTGTACTTCAATTTCTCAACAAAAACATGAGCTAACTAAACTCAAACTCTGTACCAGGAGACTAAAACATATGGCTATTCTTGGATGCAGCAGCTGTGCTTACAGATAAACAAGGAATTGGTACAAAGCGTGAGAACACTGGCAATCATCTATTCACTCACCCATCTTAAATCAAACCCCCACAAAACTTGCGAAGGTAACGGGACAGTTTGACGTGTAAACCATCAGGTAGCATAATCGAAAGTTAATGTACACTTAAATCCATAATCCTGGCGTTTTTGCTACACTTACAAAGCCCGAAGTAACCACTCACTTTACAGTGCCGACATGCTTTCCCAAGTGGTATAGTGAAATGCAACATAGTAGTGCACCTTGAACTCATTTTAGTAGCCTGATGCTGCTACGTTCAACACGTTTCATGGGATCCCTTGATGTTAAGCTAATACCTACATCCGGACTTTGTGTATCGGTCCGTTCTATTATGCAGACTGCAACATCTGCAATCGCTCGCACTCTGCTGTGAGGTTAGAAAAATACTTTGAGGATTTTTAACGTAGAATAAATAAGCAAATGAGTGAATAAAAGGTATTTTCTCGATAGAAAAAGGCCTACAAGTGCAGATTTGATCAAATATGCATACAAGCGTAGCTGCTTTGGAATATTAGGATGCATCGTTTTGATGAAGGTACAAGCGAAATTTTCGTAAGTTAGACGTATGAGCTTCTTCTCAAGAAATAGTGTGATACAGAAACAGGAGGGCGCTTGTGCGCGGAAAAATCAGATTTTCGACTGTTGTGGCAATAGCCAAATTTCGTCGTGATTTCGTCATGTTGTAATCCATGGTGTCATGAGCACAGGAGCTAATGAAAAAGAACAGTACATTAATTGCTAGGAATGATCGGGGCTCCATCAAGGCATTCTCCATAGCAAAATCGGTTGATTTCGCCGTATCACGAAGTGGTTACAGAGGCTGCATGTTTAAGTCTGATGATTGGGCCAGCGTGAAGTAGTAGGCTGTGACTTCATCAAGAGGCGGATCACACCCGCCACGTCACAGTGTTGTTGAATGGAGAATTGTGGCTTTTATAGAGAGAATGCTTGTCAGGCGAAAACTCACCAATTCCTAGAACACTGCAGTAGGTTTTTTGAACAGTAATGTAAGCTTGCAATGCATTATACCAACCGATTTTTCATCCGGTTTTTGGCAGTATATTGTCGCTCAAATTTAATCGTTGGCTCTACGGTTGGCTTGGTCAGCATCCGTGGTTTGTCGTTACAGCCGAACAAAGCAGAAAAGGAGTCGTACCGTCGAGTGAACAATGGAACAATGGAACAATGGTTTATTACGGGTAAAAGAGCATCGCTTAACAAGTCCGGTGGGATGGAAATTATTGCGAAAATCTATTGCATAATAAAGTGAAAAGCGTTATGGTGGACTCACCATAGACTTATGTGGAATAGCGGAGCTTTTCGCGTATTAAACGTATAAATCCATAAATCCATTGGTTAGGCGTTTGGCAAGAAACCGTTTGATTGCGTTTTGTAGCCCCTGGCTAACAAGTCATAAAATGAAATGTAAGTGAGACAAAGCATCGTCAACACGTTTTTTAAATATCGCCAGATTGGGAGCAGAGACGACAAAATTAGGGGGGGCATTCCAAGGCTCACACACGCGGAGAGAAAAGAAATTTCTACGGCATTCAAGCCGGCTATAATGAATTGTCAGTTTCAGAGGGTGACCTCTTAGTTTAGTGTTGTGGTTCAATTCCAGCAGCGGACGGCAAATGTGGTTGGGGTTCTTCAGAATCTGGTAAACCATTATGAGATCCCCCCGCAAAAACCGATATCGACTACTGTACATTCTTAGAGATTTCAGTCTAAGCTGATAGGGCAGATGAAAGAGGCCCCTGACGTTCTTGGTTGCCTTTCGTTGAGGAGTCTCGAGAGCAACGAGATCCTGTTTCTGCCACGGCTGTCACACTTGAACAGCATATTCCACGTGAGGTCGCATGTAAGCGTTAGGCATTTGGGGAAAGATTGAGGGTTCAAACCGACCGAAGGCTCTGCGAAGAAGGCCGAAGTGTTGATTTCCGGTTCTCGTCGCCTTCTCTGCTTGTTTTGAACACTCGAGATCCTCCTGTACCAATACACCTAGGTCAAGCTCCTGAGAAACGTTCGCCAAGATGTGGTCTCCAATCTTGCAAGCGCTCACCGGCTGGTGACGCAGATGCATCACTTTGCACTTAGCCATGTTCAATTGAAGCTTGTTCCTCTTTGACCATTCGTAAATGCAATTCAGTTCATGTTGGAGCAGATCCTGATCTTTCTTGTTACTAATCGCCCGCCATATCTTGACGTCATCGGCGAAAAGCAGGAAGTTTGAGGAGATGACTCTTGCCAGGTCGTTGATAAACACCAGAAATAAACGTGGTCCAAGCACTGAGCCTTGTGGGACACCACATTCCACCTCAATTGGGTTAGAAAGTGATCCCCTAACACGTACTTGGATCTTTCGTTGGTAAAAGAAGTTGCCAATCCAACCAAGTACAGGATCTCCGATTCCGTAACTTTGTAGTCTTTGAAGTAGGATGCAGTGATCAAGGTGGTCGAAAGCTTTGGAGAATTCCAGATAGATGACGTCGACTCCGACCCCATCATCAGCCACTTCCGTCCAACTACCTCGTGCAATCTGTAGGTTGGTGGTGCATGACTGGTGTTGATGGAAACCATGCTGTTTCGGTACCAAGATGTTGCATTTTTCCAGGTAGTCCATTAAAGCCTCAGCGACGACTGCTTCCATCACCTTCGCGAGCACAGGGAGGAGAGTCACTGGACGATAGTTAGCAGGATCGGAACGGCTACCGCCTTTAAAAAAAAGGGTTATAATGCCACACTTCCACATAGTGGGGACTTGTTGTTCATCAAAGCACCTTTGAGAGAACTGTGACAGTGGTTCAGCTAGCTTGGTGGCCGTAGCCTTCAGTGCCTTCAGGCGGATGTTGTCTGCTCCTGGAGAACTATGCTCACATAGTGAGAGTAACTTCCTTAGCACAAATGATGGGTTAAAA